TGTTTTTCTATTTAATATACATTAAAATCTAATTTATTCCTGTGATGCAAATCTGAATTTTCAGCATCATTACTCCAGTCTTCAGTGTCACACATTCCTTCAGAAATCATTCTAATATGCTGATTTATTATCAGTGCTGGAAACTGTTGTGCTGCTTAATATTTTTTTGGAACCTGTGATACTTTTTTTCAGGATTCTTTGATGAATACAAAGTTAAAAAGAAGAGCAATATACAATATACAATACAGTTCAAAAGTTTGGGGTCAGTAAATTTTTATTCTTTCTTTTTTGGAAAGAAATTAAAACTTTTATTCAGCAAGGATGTGTTAAATTGTTAAAAAGTGATAGCAAAGATTTATATTGTTAGAAAATATTTATATTTTGAATAAATGCTGTTCTTTTGAACTTTTTATTAATCAAAGAATCCTGAAAAAAGTATCGCAGTTTCCAAAAAAATATTTGGCAGCACATCTGCTGCTAACATTGATAATTCTAATAATAAATCAGCATATTAGAATGATTTCTGAAGGATCATGTGACACTTTATACTGGAGTAATGGCTGATGGAAATTCAGCTTTGCATCACAGAAATAAATTATATTTTATAGGATATTAAAATAGAAACCATTATTTTATATTGTAATAACATTTTGCATGTTACAGTTTTTTTCCTGTATTTTTGATCAAATAAATGCAGCCTTGATGAGCATAAGAGACTTCTTTAAAAAACATTACAAGTCTTACTGATCCCAAACTTTTGACCGGTAGTTTTTTTTTTCTTCTTCTTCTTCTTCAGTAAATTGGATATCAGACATCAAAATCAACAATTATCAAGGTTAATTTTAAAATTTGTAAAATATTTAAGATGAATTGAACTGATCCTGAAACAGATTTCAATTTGGCATCAGTTCATTGCATTGAACTGATTTTGTTGACAATATGATATTACATAATTATTTACAAAACAGGACATTTTTAAAAAATCCAACATATTCTAGGTCCAGATGTGGCATTAATAATGCAGCCACATGGATTTAATATCTATAGGTCAGTAATTTAATCAATACAAATAAAGACACTAAATGGCCATTGCCAACTTTAAGGACATTTCCACTGATGTAGTATATATATATATATATATATATATGAGCAACATCATCTCATTTCAAATTCACACATGATCAGAACACATGGAGCAATCCTTTAATAAAAGAGTTTCTTTGGCAAAACAGAAAATTAAGTAATTGTGCTGCTAAGAGAACAAAGTTAAATTCATATTATTCATATTATTTTGCACAGCATGTTTTAAGGTTTTGTAATTGGCACCTCGGTTTTTGCTCCATGGTTTTGCTCCTGGATTTGGTTTGTTGTTGTCAGATGGGAATGTTTTGATCTTTTCCCCCTGAAAACTGTCGTCTCCTCCCCGTTCTCTCCTTCTTCTTGCTCCAGTCTTCCTCTCTTCACGAAGTGCTGGATCCTGGACTCCAAACTCTCACAGCGCGGCCGGTCCAGAAAAGGCTGGTACTTCCTCTGCCTGGAGCCCTCCATGAGCCAGCACTGCAGAGATGTCATCTCTAAGAAAACAAAAACTGTTTTACTATGGTTTTTACATGCTACTTTTTTGATAAACATCAGACAGTATGTTAGTATTTCATTCCGGACATACAAGTCAATCGTTTTTGAGTCGTAGTTTCAGCATGGACGCACACCTGGGTTTTTTTTCTGAAGGCCTTGGATCATGCCAAGCAGAACTTGGGTTTTCACTGCGTTCTGAACCCAGTGTTGGTGCAGAGAGTTCAGGACGTGGTTCTCCTCCTCCGTTTCATTCCTCCAATTCACACCCTCGAAGTGGCAGTCATACAGCACCAAAGGGTAATCCACCGCCATACTATAAAACACAGACAACTTTAACTAATAGTCACTAATTTAGTCAAGAAAATTAAAGTTCCTACAGATCTGAAATTTTAGTATTGTGAAAGATCAAGTTCTTGCTGGTCTAAGCAATATGCAACTTCACATGGAATCCAGAATTAGCTATGGAAATACTGAAATAAAGCTCACCTGTATTGAGGTTTCCTTGGGTTTTTCTCCACATCCAGCAGCTGATCAATGATTTCTGGAGCTTCAAGCTTCTGTCCAATATGCAACAGCAAAGCCATCATGCAGCGAACCTGGAAAAGCAAAGTTATTGGTTATGTTCAGAATGGAATGCTGGCTACTGCTGATAAACACTGGTGTACACTGTGTACTATTTTTTTTTTTAAATAGCAAAGACACCTTGCTAACTTCAATAAAATCGAATACATCAAAACTCAACAGGACAATAATAAGGTTATTGACTACTACATACTGAAGACATCATTTCAACGAATTTATAAATATTAACTTTTTTGACACCAATGTTCTCCACTGTACACAACGATATTTGAAAATGTATTTTAATCTATCGTCACGCCTACTTTCTGTTAAAAAATAACAATTTGAATTAAAATAATTTGATTTATTAAATCGTTTTAGGAGTTGAATGCTTTTCAGGTTTTAGGATTTTATTAATTTACTTGACTTTTCCAGGCAGTGTTATTATAGTTAGCTAAAACTGAAACCATGTAAAAAAACAGAAAAAAAAAAACGTATTTTATGTCATCTAGTTGCCAAGGAAACATTTATCATTTTCATTTCGTTTTACTTAATGTACTGAAATAACTAAAACTGAAATAAAAATGAATGAAAACTACACAGACATAAAAAACTAAACAAAACCGGTAACACAGTAAGGTTTCATTTATTAACATTAGTTAACTATATTAGTTAACATGAACTAACAATGAAAAATACATCTACAGCATTTGTTAATTTTAGTTCATGTTTCAACATTTACGAATACATTATTAAAATTCAGTATTTGTTAAGATTAATGCACTGTGAACTAACATGAACAAACAATTCATTTTTACTAACATTAACAAAGATTAATAAATGCTGTAAAAAACGAATTCACATTGTTAGTCCATGTTAACTAATGCATTATCTAATATTAACAAATGAAACCTTATTGTAAAGTGTCACCAAAACCTAATAAAAATAACAGAATCACTACAAAATGACTAAAATATTAACAAAAATGAAAATGAAAATATATATAAAAAAATATAACTAATTCAAACTATTAATAAAAACTATAATAGTATCTCAATGATACTTAAATAACACTGTTTCCAGGTCTAGAACCCAAGACAGTAGACATTTCTGGTGCATGAAAGAAAATACAATTCTTTAATAAGTTATTTTAGCTCATTCTAAAGCTTGTTTTGTCTAACTGCATTTCATTTAAAGTCATCTTGAAGCCCCCTTGAAAGTATTCTGAGACCCCCTGGTTGAGAACCACAGCTTCAGCTCTGAAGGCCTCCAGTATGAGATGAGCTCCTCACCTGGTGATAGAGGAAAGCAAGACCTTTGACCTGGAAGACATAGAGTTGGTGTGGGTCATTAGGGCAGGTGGGGTTGGGTTGGGCTGGCTGGATGGAGGCAGACAAGATGGTCCTTTGGAACTGCAAGACTCCATTACCTACATCCATCTTACAGATGTTCCTGAAGTCATGTGTTCCTTCATACCTGCGTCGCCAAAGGAACGTAATTATCACTCAACTTCTAAAATAAAAAACTGTTGTCCACTTTTATAATTAAATGTTCAGATACTTTTTGATTGACTGTACATAATATTCTTTAAGCAGACTCAGAGTAAATGTGGATATAGTGTTAATGTTGTCATAAACTGACCGTTTAGCAGCTTCTGCCATGAGATCCACGTCTAAGTCTCCACGAGGGAAGTAGTATCTGTATGTTCTGGACTGGCAGTCGAAGCGCGCACTGAAGCCGGTTTCTACAGGAGCCCACTGCAGGATCCTAATGTCCTGTGGCAGGACACTATTTAGCATCTTCACGTAGGGTAACTCTTCTGCAGAAGCCTTGCCTTTGACCTCCACGCCAGCCGGGACAGTCACACCTAAACCTTCTCCATACTGTGTTGAGCGCAGATCAATGGATATGACCTGGAGAAGAGAGTAAATATCAGGAATCCATGACTAAGAAATATGAAAATAAACTTATGACTATTCAGATCACAAAACGACTGCATAAATGTAATTGCATTAATAATAATAATAATTAGTAGTAGTAATAGCAGTAGTAGTAAAATATTCACAATTCATTTTATACTTTTAGTCATAATCTAATAACTATTTATTATTGTGTCAAAATTAAATAATTAAACATTTGTTTATATAGTAAAAAAAAAAAGTTATCAGACAGACAGAAATATAGAATGAATGGATATAACCAGGAGAAAAAAGTGAATAGAAGGAATCCATGACTTTACAAAATATGAAAACAAATGTTTGACTATTCAGATCACAAAAAGCATAAATGCAATGGCATAAATAATTATTAATAACTAAATGTTATTTTTATTTTATTGTTGTTGTTGTTAATTATTATTAAAATATACTTATACTTTTGTTAGTTTAACAATTATTATTGTGTCAAAATTAAATAATTCAAAACTGGTTCTAAATATTAGTTATCAGGTGCAGAAAAACTAAGTTATACTGTATCAGCTGTATAAAATATCATTGGTTAATCTTTATTTTCTATTCTTGTGGGAACCCAGAAAATATGAAAACATGATCAGTATCATAAACTCACAAAAATTCAGTAGATCACAGTACCTGAGAGAAAGCACTGACTCCTTTATCTGTGCGGCCGCAGCGGTGATAGTTGGAGGTCTGTCTGTCCTGGATCAGTTTAGTCTTCAGCAGTGCCTCAAAAAGCCGGGCTTCAACGGTGTTGTCTGTGTTTTCCTGGACAGCGAAGCCCTGATATTGCCAGCCGAGATATGCCAGCCGCAGTGCCACATGCCTGCCAGGATGGGCAGAGAAGTCAAAGGGCCTCTCGGCTCCTCGTTTCTTCTGTTTGGATCGGTTCTCTCCACCTTCCTTATGTTTGGAGCTCTCTGTTTGGAGAATGGCTGATGTTTGAGTCCTCTCCTCTGTCCCAGCTCCATCTCTCTCTATTTCCAGCTGAGCTTTCAGTCTCTCCACCTCTTCCTCCAAAGCCTTCACACGAGCCAGCGGGACTTCTTCTGACATGATTACAACAAACACAGATCTATGAAATAAATAACAGAGAGATCCATATAAAAGAACTGCATTATCACCATATGCATGTGTGCATGTACATGAATGCAGCTCTTGCACACGTTAACAATAAACAGAGATTTGTGTAATAATTCACAGAGGGCTTAATAATGACATTATGTAATACGGTACTTGTATGTAGTTCTCAAACAGATGCTCCTGTAGACTAGAGGTGTTTAATGTGCAAATCTCCACGTGTTTGCTTCATATCAAATTTCTGGGCTTCTTAATCATTTAATAAATATAGTTTATAAAACTACAAACATATTTTCATTTAACTATACTCACATCCTTCCCGAAGCGTCATTAAAATAGCGAAATTATACATTCTGAAGAGTAACTTTTAAACCCAGCAGGGTGCATTGGCTTCCGTAAGGACGCCCGTCAAAATAAAAGTCCTAACATATTTACACAGATTTGCAGCATTGATTTATTCCACTGAATGTGATATGCTTTTTTTTATTATTGTTGTATCTTCCTCATTATTTTAAAATAAAATAAAATATATGTATACGTTAAATGCAATTTAACTCACTTTGGATAAACGTATCTGCTAAATGCATAAATGTAAGTTAAAATGTACAATAAAACAAAATTAAATTAAATGTAAATTTTAAATAAAAATGAAACAAAACAAACAAACAAAAAATACAATGAAATAATAAAAAATGTATACCTTGAATGCTATGTAAGTCTCTTTGGATAAACGTCTGCTAAATGCAGAATGTAAAGAAATGTAAAATTAAAACTAAATGAAATGAAAATTAACAAATAAACAAAATTAAATAAATACATGCATTCTGTCATTTTGCTGTAATTGATTTCTCGGCTTATTACATATGTAAATATTATTATAAATTATAATTATTATCATAATCACCATTATTATTTGATTATTATTCATCATAGTTTTTTATATTTAAATATGTGCCATTCAGAGTTTGTCTCCCGTTCCAAGGGTACGTCCTTATCTGCCTAACCAGCTTTAAGAGATTTTCAGTAAAGCTGTTTGATTTATTACCATAATAAATTTGCATTATACAACCCACTTGAACTAGAAAGTGTCATTGATGACAGTTTTATATTTCTTTAATTTTCTTCCTGATAAACAGTATGTTTATGTTAGTGCTGCTAAACAGCCTCATAAAAACAGTTGTTTGTCATTACAGAGATCACACATCGAATAGAATGGGATCATGTGATGAATACAACCGAGTTTCCCCCTTTTCTTTCAATCTGGAGTTCTTATTGGCTGAAGCTCCACCGAGGCCCTTCAGACAGTCTCGTGATTGGTCGTCTGCTTCTCCATTGACACACATTGCTGAACTC